GCCATTCTCCTGCCTCAGCCTCCTGAGTAGCTGGGACTACAGGCGCCCGCCACCTCGCCCGGCTAGTTTTTTGTATTTTTAGTAGATACGGGTTTCACCGTGTTAGCAGGGATGGTCTCGATCTCCTGACCTCATGATCCGCCCGCCTCGGCCTCCCAAAGTGCTGGGATTACAGGCGTGAGCCACCGCGCCTGGCTATATCTTGCTTTTCTACTTAATAACTGCCTTGTAGATATTTCTTTATCAGCAACATAGAGAGAATTGCCATACTGTTTTTGTTTTGTTTCTTACTGAGGTATAATTTACATACAATAAAATACGCCCATTTTAACTCTACAGTTCGCTGAGTTTTGACAAATGTATACACCCATATAATGACAACTGCAATTAAAATGGAACTTTCTCATCAGCCCACAGCATTCACTCTTGCGCCTTTTTGCAGTGAAGCCCCACCAGCCTCCTGAAATTACAGACCTGCTATCTTTGATTCTAGATTAGTTTTGCTTTTTCCAGAACTTTATGTAACTGGAATCACATAGTCGGTACTTTTATGTCTCGCTTCTTTCTTTCGTTTTTCTTTATTTTTCTTTTATTCATTTATTTACTTCGAATCAGAGTTTCACTCTGTTGCCCAGACTGGAGTACAGTGGCACAATTTTGGCTCACAGAAACCTCCGCCTCCCAAGTTCAAGTGCTTCTCGTGCCTCAGCTCCCGGGTGGCTGAGATTACAGGCGTGCATCAACGCCCGGCTAATTTTTGTATTGTTAGTAGAGACGGGGTTTCACCATGTTGGCCTGACTGGTCTCAAACTCCTGAGCTCAGGTGATCCACCCTCCTCGGCCTCCCAGAGTGTTGGGATTACAGGCGTGAGCCACTGCACCCGGCTTTCTTTTTTCTTTATGCTCTAAAATCTATCGCTGGCCAGGCCTAGTGGCTCACACCTATAATCCCAGCGCTTTGGGAAGTCGAGGCAGGAGTATCTCTTGAGCCGGGGAGTGTGAGACCAGCATGGGAACACAGTGAGACCCCCATCACTACAAAAAATTTAAAAATTGTAAAATAAATAAATAAATAAAATGTATCGTTGTATTGCCTGGCTTCTTTCATTCATCAAAATGTGTTTGAGAGTCATCTGTGTTTTGTGTGTACCCATAGATCTTCCCTGGGCCAGGTGTGGTGGCTCACACCTGTAATCTAACACTTTGGTAGGCCGAGGAGGGAGGATTGCTCCTGAGGAGGGAGCTCAGGAGTTCGAGGCCAGCCTGGGCAACATGAGGAGACCCCTGTCTCTACCCAAAAAATACACAAATTAGTTGGGCTTGGTGGTGTGTGTCTGTGGTCCCAGCTACTTGGGAGGCTGAAGCAGGAGGATCGCTTGAGCCCAGGAGATGGAGGTTGCAGTGAGCCTAGATTGTGCCCCTGGACTTCAGCCTGGGAGACAGAGCCAGACCCCGTCTCAAAAAAAATAAAATAAAAAAATAAAAAATAGGTCACTCCTCTCTTTGTTGAGGGGTGCTCCATTGTGGTCATTCCGGTTTGCTCATGCACCCACCCATTGCTGGGCACGTAGGTCCCCCTCAGCTTGCAGCTATTATGAAAAAGTACCATGACCAGTCTCTGTGTGGATGATGTTTCATTTCTCTCGGCTAAATACTTCAGAGCAGGGTCACTGGGTCGTAGGGTGTGAGTGTGTTTGGTTTTATAAGAAATTGTTGGCAGAGCAGGGGGGCTCACGCCTGTAATCCCAACACTTTGGGAGGCCGAGGCAGGTGGATCACAAGGTCAGGAGTTCGAGACCATCCTGGCTAACATGGTGAAACCCCCTCTCTACTAAAAATACAAAAAAATTAGCTGGGTGTGGCGGTGCACACCTGTAATCTCAGCTATTCAGGAGGCTGAGGCAAGAGAATCGCTTGAACCCGGGAGGCGGAAGTTGCAGTGAGCCAAGATCACACCACTGCACTCCAGCCTGGGTGACAGAGTGAGACTCCGTCTTAAAAAAAAAGAAAAAAAAAAAGAAAAAAAATTGTTCAATCCTTTTCCTAAGTGGTCACACCACTGCTCGTGCTTTCTGCAATTCATGATACACGAGACCTGGCTTTGGGGAGGAGGGCCTGTGTTGGTCACCCAGGTCTTGCCGTATTTGGGAAATACCGTGTCAGGG